GAGGTGCTGGAGCTGACGGTGGGGCGCGTGCAGGGAGTGCTGCGGGGCAGGGCTCGCGGTGAGTGGTGGCGGGGCGCGGGCTGGGGCGCGGCGAGTTGAAGACTTCTCCCTCTGACGCCCCTATGCAGTCGGCGGCGAGAGCTCATCCCGGAGCAAGGCGTGCCCCAGCATCTCCGGGGTGAGCCCCGTCACCGCTTGCCGGGTGGGTCAGGACACAGCAGTCCAGGCTCACCGGACCCGGCGGGGCTCTCTCCCTCCCATCCCCGGATGCAGGGCGCGAGCAGCTGCAGGCAGAAGCCAGCGAGCGCTTCGCAGCCGGCTACATCCAGTGCATGCATGAGGTGCACACGTTCGTATCCACGTGCCAGGCCATCGACGCCACTGTCGCCGCCCAGCTCCTGAACCACCTGCTTGAGTCGATGCCACTGCGAGAGGGCAGCAGCTTCCGGGATTTGCTAGGGGACGCTCTGGCCGGGCCCCCGGGAGACCTTAGGAGAAGCAGTTGGCTCACAGGAGGGGCCCTGGTGTCCCCGATACCCAGCCCCCCTGTCCCCAGCCCCCCAGTTCCCGGGGATGACCTGTGCTCCGACCTGGAGGAGGCCCCCGAGGCTGAACTGAGCGGAGCATCTGCAGAGGGCCTGCACTTGGTGCCTGTGGCCTTGGGCAGCCTGACCTCTGCGGGCATAGTCCAGAGCATCTGGAGGCCTTGGTGACCAACACCAGCCTGCCAGTCCTGAGCCTGCAAAGGTGGGCCCAGCCTTCCCACCTCTAGTTCCTCCTCCCTGGAGTCCAGATGTGGTGGGGCAGGGTCCTGATGTCTCCCACATCTGTCCTTTTCTAGTGGATGGCTTGTAGGGAAGTCCTGGATAACCCTTTCCTTAAGAGAGTAACTTTTATGGACCCCACCCCCAGTTCAAGGAGGGAGCTGCAGAGCTACCAGGGCCCCCTGGCTTTTGCCTGTCCAGGCTTCTTAGTCACTGTGTGGACCTGGGGGCAGGAGTGACCGGAGTGGTGCTGAGCCTCTCCTCAGTGCAGGGCACTAGTGTTAGGGCAGAAGGAGACCTCAGGCCCTGGCAGCCCTGTGCTGAGCAGAAACTTGAACTTGCCACTTCAACCAAGGCACAGGGGAGGCAGGTGCAGAATTGCCCTTAGCTGTCAGAGAGAAGCAAGGCTTTCTATATGTCTTGCATTTAGCAGACTTGAGTTTGTAAATTAGGTTGGTATTGAACATTCCAATTCTACTAAATAAACGATTTTGGAGACTTATTACCTTTCTGAAGTATTACTGAATGATGTGGTGTCATTAATGTGTCAAATATATAAATAGCAAACTAAGTAAGTTTTTCCTGTATCAGCAAAGTAAGCAGTGTAATGGCAGTGCAGGTGGGATGCTCTGTCTCACAGTAGACAGTGCTTCCTCCTCCCTATTGTGTGGCAGCACCAGGTGGGTTTCCCCTGCAGGTCCTTAGGCCTGACCTGCTCTCCCTGGGGTTGTGTGCAGCCTGGGGATGGATATAATTGGCATGGGGTTTGTCTCCAAAGTAACCAAGCAATAGGGAAACAGCCTATCCCCTGGACCATTCTCTGGTTCACGAACTCCCAGGAATAAACTAGTGCCTAATTTCTAGCCACATGGTTTGGAAGTTTCTTTAAAAAGTCTGTGTTGGAATCCATGCGTGTGGTGTCAGTCTGCTTGTCACTTTTCTTGACTGAGAGCGAGCTTCCACTACTGCTGGCGACTTCAGTGACCCAGATCACAACTTGAAGTGAAAGCACCATGGCTGCAGGCAGCTTGGACTGGAGGTCAAACTGGGTTCAGGAGGTCAGAACCTTGGAAGGAGAGTGAAAGGATGGGCAGCTGGGGTGTAGGGAGACTTCCCTCCTGGGCTGGGTCAGGACCTGCAGTTAGCATGTGGTCAGTTAACAGCAGTCACTGCTATAGGTAATCCAGCCCCTCTTTTGCCTCAGTCCGCCCCTCTAGTTGTGTACCTGTGTTTTGAGAACAACTTTCCCAACAGCCCTCTTACAAAGGCCCCCAGCTGGCCCTGACCCCCAGAGGCATTTCACACTGGCTTCCTTATGATTCAGTCTTAGGCCTCAGTCATCAGGTCCTAATCAGATGCAGCTTAATTTTAGTGACTGGGGATAAGTTGTCGAAGGGGTGGGTAAGGGAGGCAGGTCCATAAGACAGGACTTGAGAAGATAGAAATATTATTCTTGGGATTATTTTAATTGCCCCCCCACAGATAGATGTAGGATGTGTCCGCAGGGACACATGAAGAGCAGGTCCACCTGTGAGACCTCTGTCCCCTGTGGCTCCCAGCAGCACCCAGAGGCCACTGTGGTGAACTTTGGCTGCCATAAATGGCTACAAACTTGGTGGATTAAAGCACCACACATGTATTACCTTGCAGTTCTATTGGTTAGAAGTCTGAGACAGAATTCACTAAACTAAAATCAAGGCAGGGCTGCACTCCTTTCTGGAAGATTGAGGGTGAATCTATTTTCTTTTCCCTGCTTCAGAGGCTACCTGCATTCCTTGGCTGCATTCCTTCCTCCATCTTCAAAGCCAGCAACCTTGCATCTATCTGACCCTTCTTCCATAGTCACAACTCCTTCTGGCCTTCCTCTTCCGTTTTTACGGTCCCTTGTGACCCTTGTGATTAAATTGAGCTCAGCTCGGTAATCCAGGATGCTCTCCCTATCTCAAGGGTCTTAATCCTTCATCAGTTTTGCAAGGCCTCTTGCCATGGAAGGTAACATTCACGGGTTCTGGGAATGAGGATGTGCATAACTTTGGGGAATCCGTTATCCTGTGTACCACATCCACCTTCGTGTCTGCCCAAGCATTCTGCCTTCCACCACGATGTACTGTGGTGCTGGTTCCCCCCGCCCCCCCCCCTTTGATCTCTCAGCGACTCTGCTCTCTTCACTGCGTCATAAATCTCGCCTTGCACTAGATCATTCTTACCATCCTACAAACAAGCTGTAATACCTCCATCTGGAAAAAGGGGAGACAAAACTTCCCTGGTACTCTGTTAGCTTCTGCCTTGTTTCTCAGTTCTAAAACAAAATTCCTTAAAAGCAACATCTACATTCACTGTCTTCACCTCCCCACCTCTCACTCCCGTCCCTTCCTCTCCAGTCTGGATGTTGTTTCCACCTCTGACTGAAACTGCCCTTGTCAAGATCTCCAAAGACACCCATGTTTCCAAGTCCAGAGGTCATGACTTTAAGTTTCACCATATCCGACCTTCCAGTGAAGCACTCAGCTGGTACCACTCCTGTCCTGAAACTCTCCAACCCAAGAACATCGCTCCCCCGGTCAGCCAAACTTATTGGCCATCTCCGGTCCTTTATTAGATGCTCCTCCCCTGCCAGACTCCAAATGTGGGCAGACGAGTTCAAGGCTGTGTGCCAGCTCTTCCCCATCACCCCTGCCCAGGAACCCCATGTGGCCCATTTGGTTTCCTCCGTGTGCCCTCCATCCAAAGCCCATCTCCACCCTTGGCCTCCCTCCATCCTGTGTACTCAAGGTCTCCACTTAGGTGTCTGGTGGACATCACAAGCCAGGGGTGATTCTCACCCCCAAACGCACTGTCACTGTACTTGTTACCACTTCCAGGCACCCCACTGATTAGGCAAAAAATATATGTCACCCTCGATTTATTTCTTTTTCTGTCATCCCACTTCCACTCAATCAGATCCATGACTCTGTTCGAATTCCTATATCCACGTGGGTCATTTTTCCCAGCAACCGAACCCAGGCACCCTCATTTCATCCTTAACCCGAGTTGGGCAGCAGACCTAACTCGCCTCGCCATTTCCACGCGGAGCGCCTGGCCGAAGCCTGTAAGGCTCCGCCTGACCTCCCTTCTGCAGCTCTGCTCTAGGCTGGGGCATTTGCCAGCGACCCGACAGCGCGATCCGGCCAGCCTCGCTCAGCGCGCGCACCAGCCCGTGGACAGCCCGGAGCCTGCTTTGTGGAGGCCAGAGGGATTTCGGAAAGAGGGTGCCAAACTCCAGGGGCGGGGCATGTTGTAGAGTTTTGGCCAAGCCCCTCTCTGTGGGCGCGCCCCCTCTGTTCCTATCCTGCCCGAGGTGAGCCACGGAGCCTCCTGGGAGATGTAGTTTCTACCCTTCGACTTCCCTTTCTCCGAGGCCGCTGCTGGCCAAGCCGGGACTGCGATTCCCAGAAACCTCCCCGGTCCGAAATCTGTGTTCTCTCCAATATCCCAGCCACCGGGAGAGGAAGCCATAAAGGCTAGTGCCCCGCAGCACCGGTCCTCCGCAGCTGGAGCTGCACATCTGCGCTGGCTCCAGCCCAGGGCCCCTGGGATGGGTCCCCCTGTCGGACCCAAGCCACCGACCGCGGTGTACAGGCGGTCTGCACGTCGCGGTGGTAAAGGCTCCCCAGAGGTTCGAAAGCCAACAGCGGCTGATGTCGAGGAAGGAGTGGGTTGTTTCAGGCAAGTTTCTCGAGGAGGGAACACATAAAAAGTGAATAACTGTGAACTAATCCCTGTCTTAAGTGAATGAAGTATAGTTTTCTGCTAGATCTATTTTCATGGTTCAAAATTTCAGAAAATGTGAAAAGTCAAATCATTTGCGGAAAGTCAAATATATTCATAAGTAAAACTTGTATTGCTCACAGGGAACGCAAGGAACCAGGGGACTGGGCCACAGTCAAGGGATGGGCTGTGGGAGGTGGGACATCCCTATACAGGTGAGATCATAGAGGGCCACATAAACATGGCAAGGAGTTTGGATTTTATTCAAAGTAAACGGAAAGCAATTGAAGGACTTAAAGTAGGGGAGGGCAATGGGCTGAGTTAGGTTTTCAAAATATCCCTCTTTTTTTCCCCCTGGAAAATCAACTGTAGGAGGACAAGAGTCTAAGAGAGAGGAGGCAGTCTCGTGCATAGTAAGGAAATACGGTGGCAGAAAGGGATGTGGAGGTTTTGAGGTGAACAGGCAAGGCCTTCTGAATAGGATGTCTGGGAGGAGGCAAAGGCAGGAATCAAGGGTGTTGCCTAGGTTTCGGCAGGATCCCCTGGGTGGATGGTGACTTGAGAAAGGCTGGGGAGAACGGGATTTGGGGGCGAGAGCAGGAGTTGCAGTTGGCACATATTTAATTTGAGATGCCTATTAGACATCCAAGTGGGGATGTTGGTAGTTCCCAGAAGAGTCATGAAAGAGATATGCACAAATGTGTCATTAGAATTCAGTTGTATTTAAGGTCAAAGAAGTCATAAAGATAACTTTGGAAGAGAATAAATGGAGGAGGCTAGAGGAAAATATGCCCTGGGGCACAGCACATTTAGATAAAAAGGAGCCAATAAATTGAATCTGGAAACAGTTCAGAGTGGGCCTAATGTGAAGGGGGGTGGCGGAGCACAAGGCCTCTAGGGCTCTTTCTGCTGTGACAATAGCTGGGTCTGTAATTCTGTGAAATGACTACAGATACCAAACAGGGTGGAAGCAGGAGAGGGTGCACCCCACCCTGCCTTTGTGGAACACTGAGATTTTCTCACTGCAAAAAATGGCTCCCCCATTGAGCTAAACACTGGTGAAATGATTCCACCTTAACTGTCTCACCCACCTAACTAGCTCCTCTAGGTCCCTTACAGAGGCATGGCAGCCCCACATCCATGCCTTTGTGCTACACCTTCCACCCTAAACGAAGCCTCTGGTAGTGAAAGGAATTTTAGAGACAGGACAGGCAGTTTTAGGGAAAAGGGGGTTCATGGGAGAGGAATGCATATGTGAAGGACAGAGGTAGCTGCAAGACACCAGAATGCTTACCTTATTTCACAGAGGATAGAGGAGGATAGAGAAATGTTACAAGAGGAAGACATACTTTCACAGAGGATAGAGAAATGTTACAGAAGATACAGGAATGTTGCAAGATGAGGGGGAGAGAAAAAGGGGGGCACCACCTGGGCTTTGACCTTTGAAACTGATACTCTGCAAAATGACCAATTAGGAAAGCACGGGGGTCATAAATGGGGAAGGGATCCAATTAGAAGGGAGCATAGATAAAGAACTTCCAGCCTTTAAAACTTTAGACAAAGGGGCTTAGTTGGTTACCCCCTTGACAACCCTTCTCTATGTGGGAATATGCCTATAATTAATAAATCTCTTATAGGTTCTGTCTCTCACACGGGCCCCAACCAGGGCTGGGGATCAAGCCTGAAACCAAGGTATATGCCCTTGACTGGAATCGAACCCGGGTCCCTTCAGTCCGCAGGCCGACGCTCTATCCACTGAGCCAAAATGGTCAGGGCAAATTTTATTCTTTAATCTTCATGAGGCAAGAACCCACAAGGAGGAGAGTCTGGGTTCTGAACTCTACGTATCATAGGAGGTTATGGGGGTGTCTAGCCCAATGCCCTCAGAGTGGAC